ACTGGTCTTAGCGGACGAATCAGAAGCCGATTTCGAGACCTGTTTTGGATCTTTGCTTTTGTCTGTCTTTCTTGTCTTCACTCTTATCGGTAGTCATCGTCTGCTTTACTCTTGAGTTGAATCTCAGGTCAGACTATGATATGAGTTGTGAACCGATTATCCGTTAAAACTTTCATTTGTTTTAGTTTTCAAAACCTTACGTATTGTTAAGAATGAGATTAATTAGACAACTATTGCTATCATTTATATCATATACCTCTATAATGCATGATTTGTATGTATTGTTCACCTGTAATCACTGTATTGAATAGTTTTTAAGGTATATTTTCTGTTTAATTAATTCTTGAACACTTTATACAACTTCAGAGAAATTGATACAAATTTTGGTAATAGTTTTCCTCTCATTTGTCTCTATGGAGCGCATGTCCTAACAATTAACAACTTTTCAAATGAAATTAAATTAAATCTATAACTAGTCCAGCTGGATCATATTATATTAACTGGTAAATTCATATTCTAACGATCCCTTTCCCTACCTATCCAAACCTATCTGACCAATAAACGAATCATAAACTCAATAGATACTGTATTACTGTATTTATAACCCGTGTCACGCGCTTACAAAACCATTGTTACGACTCATAAGACACACAATTAATTTAATAGTATTAATTAAATTGTCTACAAAAATCTCGAGCATTCATAGTAGCATTTCTTACATTCAAATATTTGCTAATATCAATACATTCTTTGAGAATACGTTTTCAATTAAAGAATTCATTGATTCACTCGTTTGCCAATTAGCCGTATAGTAAAACATGAAGTTCATTATTTTGGCACCACTTCTATTCAATTGTATGCAATTAATTCAGTCATCAAATGTGAGTTATTTTTATTCAAAATAATTAGGTCTTAAACTTGGTTTGCAAATATTTTTACAGATTTTGAGTCCAATATGTGATGAAAGCAATACTCAGTTGAAGATTGATTCAGTTGTGTCGGTAGACAACGAAACGGTCTATTATTTCACTGACGATATCATAACAGTAGTGAATGTCAAAACCAACTCTATTGTCAATGTCTCGCAAATCAATGCTTACTTTAATAGTGATCCGATTGAGACGCCGATAGACATAGCATTTATTTACGACAATAATCTTGAGCTAATCAGCAAAAATGTTTGTATAAATGCCAAAAATTACTTTAATAGGAATTTTAAAAATCATATTTTTATGGTCTGTAGAGAACCGAATGGGTTATAGACTTAAAAACTGGACGATCGACGAAACGAAAGGATAATCTAAGGGATTGGGTATTGAATGGTATAATCGCTGTGTTTCCGACCGATACGACGGGTGTGTTGGTTGCGAGCAATAAACCCACCGAAGGGTTCGTTAGTATTCACTTACAGGTGAACCCAAATTACACCCAAAACACCAGTTATTTGATCAGAAATGGAGATCAGATACGACTGTTCAGCGGAAACGATCCCACTTTGAAAGACATTGAATTTTATCGCCAAATCGATACCATTAATATAACCAACGCTTATAAGATCGGAGACACCATTACTTTCATAGCCAACAGATTCTCAGTCGATGTGTCCAAAGAGTGGTCACAATTAGTGGTTAAAGATTTTGTCGCAAATTTGTGTCCAAATTTAAACCGAATGACACCCCGAGCGCCAACCACCACAACCGCCACAACCATTGCTACCACTCCCAGCGACTTGATAGCTAAGGGCCAGGGATTGAGTGGGGTGGCCATTGCAATGGCAGTTGCTATTGTCTTATTAATAGCAGTGGGAGTCGGATGTCTAGTTGTGACACAATTGTACAATAAAAGTACAAAAGGAGAGAATGAGTCGATAAAAGGCACACAAAACACTACTTCCATAGATATGGGCAATAAATTGGCAAAAAATAATCCAAATTCCTTTCAAACCAAAAACGAGTCAACACCTGAGACTGATTCTGATTAACCTGGTGAAATATACAAATTGAAATTATAATTTATCTAATTTATATATTAAATTTACAAAAATTCATGTTTAGTGACTTATAATCTTTTTTATATTAAAACTATATTTAAATGAAATTTTTAAATAGTTTGTGGATATTTATATTTGAGTTTTTATTGATATATTCATTATAAGTTATACTGTATGAAAAATTAAAGCTAATTTATTTCATAATCTAAATAATTTATTATTAATTATCTCTTACAAGCTAAAACTGTAATCATGTATTTCATATAAAATATTGAGTAGGTTTGTATAGTTAAAAGTCTAGTTTTAAGTTTATTACCGGTATGTGATAGAGTGTGTATAAAAACAGCTGTAAAAGAGCTTGACACAATTAATTATTTTGTAGAATTCAGTATTCACAAGTCAGTAATAAAATTTTTATATAATCTGCACCTATTGTATTTCGTATAAGAAAAATTGTAGGTAAATAATACAGTGATTACATACAATTAATTAATATTAAAGTAATGATATTTCATATTTTATTCAAATGACTGTAAAAACTCCTTGTCTAGTCAACTGAATTTTAATAGGTATTCAGTGTATCATCAAATTATGGTCAATATATCCCAATTTATATACAATATAAATCTAACCATTTATATATTAACATAATATGTCGAAAATGAAACTGGTTATCATTGTGAGTAAGGTCTCATTAACTTTTTTATAAAAACATAAATGCCAAAACTTTTTTAAGTAAACGTTACTGTATTTAATTCTAACAAATGATAATTAATGTGCTTATCCTTGAAATGTTATCTTTGACTGCATTTTATCGCATCAAGCATTGGTTCGCTGTCTAAATCACTTTCTCATTAAACATGGTCAGTTTGCTAACAGTTTGTTTTTCAAATTTTCTGAATTTTCGCCCGCTTCTCAAACTAAAACTTTTTCACCTTGAGTAATCTCCTGTCTGTGGGGTACTATAGTTTCTCGCCACAAACGTCAATACCAGAGATTTTTTGGCACACAATTGGATCCAACAAACCGTTGATACAATACAAGTCCGAAGAATTACTGGAGGTTTGAGTAATCAGTTATACTATTGTGGAGTCAATGAGCCCTCACTTACATCCACTGCACCTCAAGAGGTGGCCATCAGATTGTATGGCAATAAATGGTATAACAATCTGAATAGTGATGGGAATGAGAGATCGAAAGATAGGAGTAGTGAACGTCTGAGTGATGTGATCACATCTCTGATGTTATCGGAGACACAATTGGGACCAAAAATATACGGACTCTTCGAAGACGGACAGATCCTACACTACTATCACGTATTCATCAGTTAATTGAATGTCTGTGTATTTTATAACAATTATTTCTCTATCAAAAGCACCGACAGTTCAAACTCGAGGAGCAAAACAACCCAAAACTGGTTGAGGAACTGTTCCAAAAGATAGCTCGAGTTCACGCCCTGGACGTCCCCCTCCCGAAGAAGCACTGGCTCTTCAGAGAGATTGAGCTCAACTACGAGGAGGCGTACAAAAGACATCCCATTAATGAGTTGATAGAAGAGCTAAGCTGTGAGACAATCAAAACTCACGATTTGAAGACTGAGATCCAGTGGCTGAAGGATATGAGCGTCAAAATAAACAGTCCTCTCGTGTTTGCACACAACGATCT